GGCCAGCAGGTAGCGGGAGGCTGGGGGGAGAGCGGAGCGGGGCCGGGGAGAGCGGAGCGGGGCCTGTCGCGGCGCCGGGATTGAGCCCGGGCTTTGAGTCGCCGCCCGTTGGTAACGGGCAGCTACGTGCGTGCCGCGGCCTGGCAGCAAAGAAGAGATGATGCCCTTAGGCACGCGGAGCGGGCTGCATTCATCTTTACTGTAATACGGGGGAAGGTGCTCAGTGCTGTGAGGACTTTAGTAATTTAAAATGTTTCTGCGTTCGTGAGTGTGCAGCTGGCACGGGGGTGCTTTTCATCCACTGCAAAGCATCGTCCAGCAGCACAGTTTAAGCCTTATGTAATTATACTGTGAAATTATGTATTTCACTTTCCTTGCAGATGATTAACAGGCATGCAAGCCTATTTTTGCCCCCCAAGGCAATCACAACAGTATGAATAAACTGCTGCATACAGCTGTAGTTAAGCTACATTAAACTAGAGCTGTTGGGATAGAAGGGACCTCAGGGGGTCTCCGGTTCAACCTCCTGCTCCAAGAAGGTTCAGCCACGAGGTCATACCAGGTTGCTCAGGGCTTTGGCCATTAGGATCCTGGTGTCCTCAAAGACAGAAACTGCCTGACTTCTCTGGGCCCCAGTTCCAAATCTCTTCTTTTTGAAATTCGTCAGGTTCTTCATCTGCCCATGCCTCTGAATGGCAGCTTTGCCCCGAAGCATGTTAACTCCTCTCTTCAATTTTACTTTATTCGCAGATTTCTTAAGTTGCAAATCATCTCTTCTTGTGGGCCATGGATAGAGACATTAAATAGGACAAGCGTCCCCAAATACTCCTTTGAGTATTTTGTGCCTCTGGCAGAGCACAAAGCACAAACCACAACTGCTGCAGCCTGATGATGCAGCTAGTTCTCACCCATCTGGCTGCTGACCCATCCTTACCCCAACATCCCAGCTTGTGTAGAAGGATGCTATGGGAGACCATGCTGAAAGGCTTGCTAAAGTCAAATTAAATGACATCCGCTGTTTTCCCTTCAGCCACAGATCCAGGGACTTTATCATAGAAGTCGTTGCCTCATTTATTGTTATTTGCCTCCCTTCTGTTTATTTTTAGAGTACTTGAGAAATTAGATGCAAGCATGATAAATACTTAGGTGTTGTGGTCAGGGATGGCCAATTTGATAGATGATGGTTGAATAGCTTACGAGTGTGATTTTGATCGTTATGATTGCTAACTGTATTACATAATACAGTATATGCTACTCAAATAGAAGCATATTATAAGCATATGCATTAATACAAGCATATGTATTGTGAGACACTGTATAAACAGTTGAGAAATTTAAACTTTTTCCCATTATTGTGTAGGGGACAGCTGGGCTGTGTGGCCAGGCACATTAACAGTGCAACATGGTGGAGTGAGCATCTTTCTGAAGAGAACGTCAAGTTCCTCCAGAAGGTAACTGCAGAAGAGTACAAAGCCCAGACAGACAGCAAGCTGTGCCCTCTGAAGGACGAACCATGGCCGTTGAATGAGTGGAAACCAGGTGGGAAACTATCTGTTTTGGAGAAAAAAACAGACTTATGCCATAAATATTTTTGTTCTGTTGTTGCATTCCGTAGCATTAGGCTTGTGTGCCGTAAAGTATCATCCTTTTTGCTGTTTCCTCAATCATCTTCACCTCTGCAAGGAACAAAATATGCTCTGTTCTGAGTTTTCCTATTGTCCTTGAGGATTTTCTTGTGGATTCACAGACCGCGTTGTTGGTTGCTGTCAAATGATATGAACCTTTGAAGAGTCAAAATCTTTATGTTTTCTCATGCATAAGCCTTTTGAATGGCTAAGTAGTAATGTGTCTTCTTCCTCAGAGTCTAGCAGTCGTTGAAAGAATGTTTTCAAGTTCACGTACTTTATATCCTTGGGAGTCTTTTTGATGGATACTTTTATTTACTTGTTTATTATCTTGCATTGTGCAAAAATGACACTGATGCAGTGATGATTTTAATTAAAAACTAAGTTGTACATTAACGTATTGTAATACTTTAAATGTTCTTTAGAGATACGATGTATTACATTTATTTATCTATTTGGGAGGTGTTTTGATTTTTGAAAGTTAAAAGGGATTCATTTTGTGTGTTCTGTATTTTCAAGCTGTGGACTCTCAGAAGTCCTAAGAGAATGTCCCTGCTGTACAGTAACAGTGACAAGAAATGGAAAGGTCATAATGGGAGGAATATACTACAGAGACTTTTTCTCTTGGTTAATTTGACTCTAGGATTTTATGTGAGAGTCATTTTTTTTTCCACCAAAAATGGGTCTGAAGCATTACTTGTTCTCATCTTAATGATGAACATTGTACAATGTATCAAAGGCAATTTGTACAAAAGAACTTTACTGCTGTAATGTTAAAACAAGAGAGCCAGTTATTCCAAGCCTACGCACAGGGGATCATTATTTTTTCTGTTTCCTCTGATCTTGTGCTTGTCTGAGTTGAAGAGTCTTTGCAGGATGTTTTTCTGTAGGTCATGAGATTAGCTCTTTCAAAGTTGGAGTGTGGAGTTTCATTTCTGTTCTGTTTTGATCTACAGATTCTCGCAGAGTTGGTGTTGTTGCAGTAAAATTGGGAATGATGCCAATATGGACCAAGTCAGGAAAGAAACATGCAGTCACTCTACTAAAGGTGAAATAAATTGTGTGGAATTTCATCTCCTTACACTGTATTCAGATTGTTAACCAGAAGTTCCAGGCAAAATGAAACTCGATTTGCAGAATAGGGAATCCCAAAGATTTCTTTCAGCATGTGTAGCATGCTGTGCCTGCTCTCTGTTTTTAGACTCTTAATTTTTTTTAGGAGCTGTCTGCCTTCTACATCAGATGTTCAGTGATGCAGAACTGTGCGTGGTGTGCATGAGGGAGAGCTGGGATTCACTCTCTGCTTCACTTTATCCCAACTGCAGGCACTTGGGAATTGGTTTCACCTGGTTTACAGAGCTTTTGTGGCTCTGAAACTGCTTTTTCACCTACTCTGGCAGATATGAATGTGAGATTGCTTTGCCAACCTGTTACTGCCATATAATAGACTGAGGCTGTGAAGGATTTCATGTTTACAGCACAAGGGAATAGAGTTAGTAATTTAAACTGTTGTTATTGTATGCTTTATAGTTGCATTTGGTCAGAATTTTACACATCCTGTAGGTAAAAAGGTGGTTATAAAAGTTGATTCAATTTCTAGAGCATTTATGAAAACATGATTTGTGTATTTGTGTTCTCCTGATGTTTTTTTAAGGTAAGTCTTCAGTTGTTTGAAAAAAAAAGATTAAAATCACTTTCCTATATTTGTTCTCTGCATCTCCTTATAAAAGAACAGAAATTAAATCTGAGACTTTTTTTTAACTTGTTTTGATAGACTCTTAATAGTTACAGATGTGTCTGTTGCTGGACTTCTATTTTCTTTTTTTAAGGTGCAAGATTGCCATGTTTTAAAGTATATTTCAAAAGAAGATTCAGGTGGAAAATCACCGAGACTCGTTGTTGGAGGGAAAAATGGATCTCCTTTTTCGGTAAGTAAACTGCTTTGGCTGTTTTTTTTTTTGTTGTTGTTTTATCATGATTACATTACTAGAATTACATGAATAAACTTCCTCTGACAAATTCTTTTGCAGACATAGCTTTTGGAATGGATCTTCTGTCAGATTCACCTTTGCGTGTGTCTTTAGTGGGAGTCTCAATTCTTGGTTAAGTGGCATGAATTTAGGTGTCTTCTCACCTATTTCTGATCGTTCTTTCCCAGAGTCTAGAAAGTGAGGACAACTTGCTGAAGATTTTTGCCCCTTGTTACTGTGAGAAAGCAATAGGTTTGGAAACTTTCTCTTTCTTTGTTACAAAGCATCCTATGGTAATGAGTCTGCAGAACCCTTAGCAGTATAGAAACACCAGGAATCTTCCCCACTTTTGGGTGGGTGGGGAGACTAACACACCAAAATACACATTAAAGATCTTTTAATCTCCTGTGATCAGGAGTCATGGGGCTCCTTCAGTTTTTAGATTGATTGTTCTATGGTTGACCCTTTTGTACTGTTTATTTGCTTTTGTTGCAATTTTGCCATGAATCTGTTGAGATTGTTCACTTGCATATAGCTATACCATAAATAAAAAGTTTAAAACTTAAATTTTCAATCAGACAGCTCTATGAGTGTATTTGTCAACAGCAGTATCAAAAGATGGTCACGTTTTAGATACTCCAAATACCTGATGTGGAATTCCCAGTCTTGAATAACTATGGCTACCTAGCAAAGGGGTTGATCCTGAGGAGGAAAATGGAATTATAGATCAAGGCAGGAACAAAGGACTGCTTTTTTCTGTGATTATATAAAATAGATATTCTATAGCGATACTCTATAGAGAATATTCTATTCCATAGAGAATTTTATAAATAGATTGTATTCTGTGTGATTCTGTAAAATAGAGCTGTGTACTCTGTGACAGTGTTCCGACATGTCTTTGTTTGTCTTAGGCAATTCCAAAGTAAGATTTGTGATTATTATTTTCACTGCTCAAAAGTCTGTGTATTTTGAGAATGTGTATTTCTTTTTTTTTCCCCTTCTTTCAGAAAGAAAGTTATCCCAAAGACTCAGAATTAATCCATGTGCTTTTTGTTTGCCTCATCTTCCTAGTGGAGATAAAGGAAAAAGGAACTTCTTTTTTCATTTGATAAGCTTGTTGGCTTTTGTGGGGTAATTTTTGGAGAGGCACATATTTTAATGCATCTCCCTTTATTTAGTGGCTTATATCATGTTTCACTACCAGTGACATTTCGTGTGTCTATTCTGTCACTTCCATCCATTTCTGTTTTAATGTGTAACATTTTTCCCTGAAGGAATTAGAGTTGTGCTTTTTCCTCCCTGCTGTGTTGGTTCAAGACATTTTAAAAAATCATGTAAATCTAATGATTTTGAAATTGCATTTTGCACATTGAACTCGTTACTCCTCTTAATTTGCTTAAACTTCCATTTTTTGATAAAGAAAATTGGCTATATCCTTAGACAAATCTGTAGTCAGGACTTGTCATAAGCCAGAGCTCTTAGTAGTTACTATCATCACTGTGTATATTTTTTAAGAAAGAATCTGGCATACAGTTTCTGAACAATTTTAGTTATTAAGGTACCTGCAGATATTGTCTTTCTATGGTTTAAATACAGGTTTGAATTATTGCTGTCTTTATTACTTTTGTATGTTTCTTTTTTTCTCTGAAGTGTCTATGTGAGAATTAAAAGCTGACTGACTCTGTATTGTATTAGTGTAAGCAGTTTATCTTCTGTTAGTTCCTCATAGGAACATCTGTCTTCCTCAGATTCACTACAGCTACTGATGTTAGTGAATTCAGTCTAATGATTCCCTCCTTAATTTCGCTAACAAAGAATGTTTCATCTATTTAAGTGTAGTTTTTTTTTTAAATGACAAGCAATATTTACATTCTTAGCAATAACTCTTTTCTCTTCTTACTTTGATTGATGTCAGTCTATTGCAATTGGAGTATTTTGATTTTTTTCGCATTCAAAATATTTCAAAAAGTACAATTCTGTCAATGTTTTAAGATATTTATATATATATATACATGTATGCTGCTGGTTTAATGATCATTTTCCTGTAATACTGAAAGATGTAATAAGCTTGAAATATAAACCCTTGAGATTTCACTCAATATTTTTGCAGTAATGCAAAGCTTTGTAAAGACTTCAGGTTTTTGTTTGTAGAAATACCTATCTGTGACTTCACTGCTTGAAGAAAATTTGTTTCTATTATTCAAGTAGAAGAATGAAACTCTGTAGTAGTAGTGAGTGATTTTAACCATTCATAGTTACTATGTTTTCTTTCAATTCTGATAGCTCTTTCCAGACACGCATGCTGAGCACAGTGTTCCACTTGCTGTCATGTAAAGAAGCAGATTTATGTAGCAGTTAAAATAAAGGGTTGCTTTGCAGCCATTTAGTTGAATTTGATTTATTTTAAATCTTACATGGGGCTACCACAATCTGATGGTCATCTGTCACTAATTCATGAAGTTTTTGTGGCCTTTTGAGAGGGTTTTGTGTTTAATAGATGACTTTCTAAAAATGGTATTTGAGAAGTTTTGTATTATTATTTTAACAGATTGGTTTCAATTAAAAATAAAAAAACCTTCAAAGACTTTGAGTTTATACTTCCTCCCCAAATAAGGGTGGTTTATAAATTCAAAAGTTGCATTTTTTGTCTGATTAAGTCAGAGCTGCTTTATCATCCTGCTTCTCCCATTCTTCACAATACTTCTGCTGTTCTCATAACCCGTGTTTATATATTTTTAAAAAGAAAAAGGGCAACATGCTGGCTTTCAAACTTACAGAAGCAACTTACATACATTTTAAAAGTTATTCACATTATTTTCTCTGAAAATACAGAGAAACTTTTTTTTTTTTTTTTGGAGAGGGGTAATTGCACAGAACTTTTGAGAAGTGAACCTGAGATGTGACTATCCAAGTGTGACAGCGCTGGCAGATGTTTAAATTGGTTTCCACGAGTATTCATTTGAAGAAAAATCAGCTTCATTGCTCTTTCCTGCAGCCTCAGTTTTCCTGCATCTTTTTTTCCCTTACAAGTATCCTCTCAGTGGTCAGCTCTTGTCTGTGAGTTGTCTAGTTTAAAACAGCTGAAAACCGTTTAAAGCGTTTTTAAGTTTATGTCAGAATTCACTAAAATGAAGGACTCTTCTTTATTAAATCAACAATCTTTTGGTATTGAGTGCAGTTGATATATCTTAGAAGTATGCATCATAAACTCATTTTTCATCATTTTACTGCCTCTTTGTTCGGAAAAGCTGTATTTGGTTTCATGAGAAACTAAGCTTTTCCAGAATATTTTGCAAGGTAAGGCCTAATTTGTCTGTTTTTCTTTATTATGTGTAAGAAAAATTATTTGTGATGATGTAGAACTAAGTCATTGTTAACAGCTTTGAAAAAAAAATGTTTTGAAATGTCTAGAAATCAATTTGAGAAGTGTTAAACACAAGAAAAAGCAGTAGTGTGTTTTATGTACAGCCTATATGGCTAGTTTCTCTATTTTAATTTTAGGAATCTTCATAAATCTCTTGGTCATGTGATGTAACTTCATGGTAACTAGCTGACAAAGTAAAAAGCAGATACAGAAGATTTAAACTATTTCATATACACTTAAAAATTCTCAAGATAAGTGCGGTATGATATGTCTGCTTCTCTGACAGTCTGCAGTCACATTCAGTGAAATGTTGATCCCTGGGTATCTTAAAATTACTTCTTTCTATGGTTACTCTTCCTTACAGAGATCAGAGTCTGAAATGAAAATTTTTAGAGAAGCTGGAGTACCACGGAAGCAGAAAATTACATCATTTAATGTAACAAATGATGCCATCATTAAACCAGGTAATCTTTCTGAGCTACAGAATACGACATGCGTGGTTGTTTGATGTCCTCCACTTGTAAATTTAGTCCAACTCAGGAAATGTTTGTTTGTTTCTTTTTATATCAAAAATGTTGAATTCTTATTTATTTTTGAGTGCAAACAACCTTTTCATTTTTTTTGGGGGGGGGGAAATAGCCTGCACTTTTTAGAAGATAAGAAACATGTTTTTTCCTTTTTCCTAGAAAGTCTGTTTTCATTGCTTAGAAAACTAGTTTTTATCCAAGCTTGCTAGTCTTAACGTTGAGTAAACTTGGCTGAAGTGTTGGAAGTAACATGGCATGCATTATTTTATCTGATAGTCATTATGAGAGGGACACTGAGAAGAATTTCATAATATTGTTTCCTGAGGCATAAAGTTGTAGTCTGAGGTTTGGGGTTTTTTTTTTGCTTCAGAAATATGACTGACATATTTTAACAGAGTGAAGATTTGGCAAAACTTTTGCTTCACCCTGTTTTTAAGGAATGTGTTTTTTAAATACATTCCAACTTTTCAGGTGCTTGTAGTTTTAAGTAGAACATATTCTATGTTCTTGCCAAGTCCCTTCTATCCATCTGGAGTTGGGCTGGCAACTGAGAAACTTGCTTAGTAGCAAGTACAAAGCACATGAATTAGTAATGAAGGTTTATGAATAGGAGCAAATAATACACGAATACAAGACGAAGTTTTATTTCCTTTCCTGTGACTATCTCATGCCCTGTAAGTAAGATAATGATTTAATGCTGATTTGTGGCTTTCAGCATTTAGTTGAACATGATCTCTCCTCTTCTCTTGAAGGAACTCCTCTGTATGCTGCTCACTTCCGCCCAGGGCAGGTCGTGGATGTAACTGCAAAAACGTAGGTTCCTAACCCTTTAAATGCATAGGGTGCAGCTTTCCAATGCGTTGCTTTCCCTTCCCATCCTTTGCTGGAACTCATGGCTAACAAAAGCCAAAATTTCGTTGTAATGAGAGTGGCAGAAAATAGAAGTCCATTCAGTTATTGGTTTGTAAATACCAAATTCTCCTTTCCACTGAAGCTTACTTTTAATTTTGAGCAGTAATGTTTAGACAAATACTACTCTTAGGGCTAGAGCATGTGTGCTTGTAACAAGTATATGATTAACACCGAGAGCCTTGATAAACAGCTAAGGTGCTTAAGCCTAGCACAGGCCAGGAGGTGTATAATGCTGCACATGTGGTAGGTCGAGCTGGGGGATAAATATTGAGAGGCCTCAGCTCTCAGAAGAGGTCCTTGATTTTAATTTGGCAAAGAGATGCAGAAAGAGGTGAAAGTGTGTGGACAGAATGAGAAGCAGCAAGAAAGTGAAAACGTTTAGCAGGACAACAGAATTGTCACAATCTTATATGGCTTTCTCTCAGATTAGCGTCCATCTCCTCTGCCAGCAACCCACTAATGATCTTTTTCTTTAATGTGAGGGGGAATGTTTTCCTCTCAGAATACTGTGAATACCAAGTTAGGGCTCAAGTGGTAGAGGATGTCAAAATAATAGCTGGCACCTTGCTGCAAAGACTAGTCATGCCTCGTCTGTTACATGCATAATTTCCCCTGCCCAAGAGGATGCAAAAATGTTATCTCAGTGTTACAGTGAAGTACATTTTTGTTATATTATGATACCAAAATGACATTTTTCATTTGCTGTTCAATTATTTGTGTAATGGAGATAATGCTTAATGGGTTTTGTTGAAATATCATGCATTGTAATTATCTTCTTTTTTGGTGTAATACTTAAAAAATTCAAACGTTTCCCCTTGTTATTCCTGTGTACATGTAGGGAAGCTGACCGTATCAGTGTAGCAGAGTCACCAGTTCTCATATGCCTTCTGTGAGGGCAACCTATTGAAAAATCTATCTACTCTATCTAAAATTTCGATCTAAGGAAGATGAGTCATTGACTGGAATTAGTATTTTTCTATGTCACACTTGCTTATGTAATACTCGAACCTGGTATATTATTCATGTAGCTTCTAAACTGTGTTTAGTGAGCAGCCTTTAATTCATCGCAGTTTATTCTGCACCTGCTCAAGTTAAATGCTTTCCCTTTGCAGAAGAGCTTTTAAGAGAATATCTTCATTTTGCCCAATGCTTTGCATGGCACTGCTTTAAATGATTCAGCCTTTTTAAAATACAGGCAGGTATTCCTTTGAAAGGCAAAAAGGATAGAATAATTCAAGTAATTGTTTTGTGGAGAATATTGGACCTGTTTAATAAAAACAAGAGGTTCCTCATCCCTGTGTAGGTTGTTACAAAAATTAGGAAGATGTTCTTAGTTCATTGCATTTCAGAAAAGTCTTGGTTAGTATCTTCATTTGATTATCAGAATCCCTTTTCGATCGTCTCCTTTTAAGCTCTCGTTGAAAATAAATTTTTGAATTCGTTTGAAATGTTTTGATTCATTTATACTTCAGTGAGAAAACCACTGTCATGGAAACAAGAAGGCTTAAAGATGTGTGCAGTTTGCTTTTATTCTAAGTCTTGTAATTTGTTCAACCCAGTGTGAGCAGCTTTTAGACACTGACAGTAGATAAC